GCAAGTGGGAGGACAAGAGGAAATGGACTCAAGTTGTGCCAGGGGAGGTTTAGATTGGATATCAGGAAAAATTTATTAACTGAATGGGTTGTCAAACACTGGAACAGGCTGTCCAGGGAGGTAGCGGAATCACCATACCTGGAGCTGTTTAAATGATGGTGTGGATGTTAACACTGGATTTGGTATTTAGGTTAATGATTGGACTTGATGATCTTATAGGTCTTTTCTAACCAGAATTATTTTATTATTCTATTCTAAGTATTCCTGTCTTTTTAAATAGTTGGTGTGCTTATAGCAATTTTGGGAGAATTAATTGATCATAAATAACTACAGGTTTTCATACCAATGCAATATAAGCTACCTTAGTATCAATCTGTTGGCTTCAATGTTACTTAAATTCTCATTTCACTGACATTTCTTTCTTCTGTCTTTCACCTCCTGCCTCCTGTCCATAAGGACACCGAAGTTCAAATCTGCCGTCATATCCATAATGGAATTGCAGATTTTTATGGAGATGAAAACCAACAATGGAACATAAAAACAACATACAGAAAATCAGGATTATTTTTTTTTGTTATATTAAAAAAAAAAAAAAAAAAGGTGAACCAAGCCACTATATATTTTTGTTTTTATTTTAATGGAAGATGTGAATTTTCCATTTTTGCCTCCTCTATAACCCAGAATTTTTAGTACCTAAAAAGTAGAAATTAACTGGAAAGCTAGTGGGGAAAGAAGAAAAGGATCTCCTCTATTCTCTACATTTTTTTAACGTTTATTTTACAGTTATAATGGATGTAAGTCTTAAGGATGTATCAAGCTTTTATTTATATTTGTATTTTACTTTAAGGGTTTCTGCTTTGCCTTGAATATTTTTTTGATAGATTGTAACTCCACAGACCAATACGTATGTATCTGGGCTTAAGCACTATCTAAAATAACATCATTGCCTATTTTTCTACTCATTGTTTAATAAATTGGTTAGTAACACCTATTCTTTCAAGTCTTTGTCTCCAAAAAAGAGTTTGCTTGGCATAAAAGGAAGTAAGGTGAACAGTCTCCACATTTACCTCATAAACTGCAACCTTAAGCTGCATACATTTTATTGCAATATCCTGTTCATTATAAATTTGTGGTATCAAGCTATTTGTTACCTTTGGTCTTTCCTTCACCTGTTTCCTTGTGATCAGGTATTGTTTTGTTATTACGGATCTCTCAAGGTCTCTAGCATCTGAACCTTTTTCTGGTATTTTCACTGAATGAAATGCATATTATAAAATTTTACACATTTCTTGACAAAAAGACCACTTTTTTATTCATTTCATCAAGTGAAAACAAAAGAAAATAGAAGTACTTTCCTCACGACAGTATTTTATTTGTGGAACTTTCATTATATTGAATACATTAAAACATTCAGTTAAGATTCTGCAACTATGCTTCAAGCTTTTGCTCCATCCATCCACATTGTCACAGTAAAAAATTATATCTTAAGCAAGAAGTGTAAAAGGACATTTGAAAGTCAATGGCCTTTATGACCAAATCTGAACTATAGGAAACTATTTTTGCTGTAAGTCTGTTTCTGTATAAATTTAGATGCTTAGTTTCTGTATAACTGATTACATCTAGTTCACACTATTAATTTTCTATTACATTTTATTGTACTTTATTATACTACTTCAATTTTCAATCAAAAGGGAAAAAGAGCTCTCTATTGGTAAGTAAAAGTGATAAGAACTAATTTAAACTGTGGTACACAAATCATTATCTCTAAAACTGTACATTGAAATGTCCTTACAAAGGGGTGCTTTGGACTCTCCTATTTAAATGGAAGACAACTGATGAAGTGTGATCAATTATATGAGGATTAAATTCCAGGAATTCCTTTGCAAATTAAAAATATTAAATCTATTTTACATAGATTTACAGTCAACTTCCAATCTGGCTAAAACTGAAATATGCTTTCTTAGAAAACAAACAAACAAACAAACAAACAACTACTAAAAACCCCAGGTTAAAATACTTGATAAATAATAAATATTTATTTTTTTAAATTCTTTGGAAAGCATCACATTAATTTTGCATCATCAAAACAGACAACAGTGAAATGCTTTTGAAAATAGTTCAAATATTTTATAAATTATAACTTGATAATTTAAAGAATGTATAGGCTTAGATTGATTAATGTCTATATCGATACATGTATTTTCCTTTCAAGATTTACCATGCAGTAAGATTAAATCAAAGCCAAGATGAAGTAATTACTCAGGAGATAATTTTTGGTGACATTTCGCATAAATGAAAATATAAAGCTAAATTTACATCATTTTGCACTTCAGTCCTTATTTTCTCTATTAAAAGTCAGAATCACTATCATACCATTGACAGTGATTTTGTGATATGTTGATCTCACGTGCAAGCCCATGAATGACAGTTATTACAGTTATTTCCATGGGATATACAAAACTCACTAGAAATTAGAGTGAAATGATGAAAATTGGACCTAACATTTCTAGAACTTTTTAGAATGAATAGAAGATTATTGTCTTTAAAGTTCAAGAAAGCTTCAAAATTGTCTTTGAATAGGCAGAATTTAATTATTCTTATTAGAAAATTCATAGTGGTTAGTTCTCTGTGTTGAAAGAATGTAAAATAGTCATCTTTTCCCCTAAAATAATAAACCAACAAAAAATATCTTCCTGGGTAGGAAGTTCACTTTATTAAACTTTATTTTACATTTGCTATTCTTAAAATTCATAAAACATTTAACTATGTTTATATTCTCTGTAGATTTTAATATGCATTGTTCTTCTAAGCAAGTACTAACAATAGATCTGCAAAGCTGCAGTCTCATGCCTGTATTGGAAATTTCCACTCTGACTGGTGTCAGTGTTGTGGATTATTATTTTTGTCACTAGTATTTAACACAACTTCACATCCATAAAAGTTAATCGCACATAATAGTTTAGGAAATTTTACCTTATTCATTGTCTTGTACTTAAAGTGCAGAGGAGAAAATTTAGATTAATTGAAACATTGACTTTAAATTTTGTATTATTTAAAAAATGGTTTTGTATGCAAAGAGAAATAAAGAATTCAATAAACATAACAGCCTGCCTATTGTTATCAGTTTCAGGAATGTAATTACCTAAGCATGCAGCTGATTTTGAAATTCATCTATCAGTTAAACTTCTTCATGTTTGGGCATTGCACACATAATAATTGCTGATAATGCAAGAAACTGACCCACAGCTCTTCTACAGACACATAGATTTGGAAATAAGTTAATGTTTCACACACAGTTAAGGCGGTTTAATTTTACTTTGTGATTAAATTGGAAGTTTATGACTTAAAAGCTGAAGAGATTCTTCTACCAAAGCATTGGTAGTGCTATGAATCACAGTGTACACAGAAAAAAAGCTGCAATAAATTTAAACTATCTAGATAAGTGTTTGTATATATATATATACACATACAGCCAGGTACATAATGATATACATCATACATGTAATACATATATCACATATACAAAATACTATGTATGTATTACTTATGTAATATTGACCAAAGTAAACAGAAATTCTGATCTCACTTTTTATTTGCTAGCTTTGATTTTTATCTACTCCCTTTGTAACCTAGTAGCGCTTTGACTGGCATTTCAGTTTCCCCCCAGTCTTTTCCGCTATTAACATTTCTCATTACTTCTTAAAAATTGCAGAGCTATCCCTGTTTTTTTTTTCTTAGTTAACCTTTTTTTTTCCCCTTCCTTCTGTCTCATGTATTGGATTCTAGAGCAGCAAACATGGAAGTGGAAAATCAAAATGGGTCTAAGGAGCATGGTTGTTCCTCATGGCTGTGCAAACACATATGCCATTTGATATTTTTGTCATAAACATCCAAGATATTCTGGGATATTTTATCCTACAACTCCCTAACTTCCCATATTTTCTTTCCACTTCTGACTCTTGAACTTACTTTTCTAGACACTCTCATTATGGGCAGATATTCAATATATCTAACTTTAAGCACACTCCTTATGTCCTTAAGAATACATTACATACTTAGCTGGTTCAGAAAAAAAAGCGTTAAAGCCATAACCAACTGTGTATGGAGACTTGGAAACTCTCCAGGTCCTCTGGGACCTTTCACTCTGGATAGAGTGAATTCTACCTACCCTAGGCCTAGATGCTGTATAAATAAACCTAAGGCTTTCCCACCAACACTAGACATTATACAGCATTTTTAGAATGAAAATTTCAACTGGAAGAATACTCTTTTCCAAGAGGGTAGGAGGAAATATATGTAACCTATCTCGACTCTAAGCTGCACAAGAGTTTGTTAGGTAACACCATGCTCTGTTATCTCTCTTCCTACACTGATCATCTTGCAAGTACATACTTGACTGTGGATAGTGACATCAGTATATTTACAAAACCAAAGACCTAAGCTCAAGTCTAGGCTTAACAGAGTGTAAACCTAGCCTAAAATAGGAGCTTAGACATTCCCTACATAATTAATAGAAAGGTCACCTTCATTTTGATACAATACTACATTAAAGGATTTGCTGTTGATTGTAATTCAGGCAAATGGACATGATAACCTAGCATGTATTTTCCATTTCTATTTTTATAATGTTGCAATAATCTTATTACATCAGGTGATTTTGGCAGATTCCTTCCTTTAAGTGAGAAAATCTCATTGCTCTACAGCTAATATTTAAAAAGGTTACTTTTGAATCATCACATTACTGAAGTAACTGAGTAAATTACAGCTTTCTTTACCTGTTCCTCTGACTTTTATTTGGGTTTTTTTGTTTTGCTTTCTTTTTTCTTTTTCCCAGTATTATTTTAGTAAATAATAAAATTCCATAAATATTCTTAGCAATCTAAGAACCATTATTGCTAGTGTTCATAATGCTACAATAGCATAAAATACCGAGCTTTACATCACAAATTAAATAGCTGAAAAAATTGTAGAGCCTGTTTAAGACGTTCTGTTTTCCTTACCTAAGCCATGCCTATGCGTTGACATTGGTGGTAGCACAGTCCAAGCCTTGGTCTTTGGATTGTAACATTCAACAGTGTTTAATGTCTTTAAACCATCCCGACCTCCAATGACAAACAGCTTGTCATCAATGACAGCAACACCAAACTGAAGCCTCCTGCCATTCATCACTCCAGCCTGGATCCATATATCTGTTCTGAGATCATACTTTTCAATAGTTGTAGCACCTGACGAGACATAATGAGGATAACATGTACAAAATGCATACAAAATTGGCATTGGCTACCTTTTTTTTTTTACTTAAAGTGTAATATCTTCAATATTATTTTCTGTTTACTTCCAGCATTTTGACAAATATTTTTTATTTCTTCAGATAAAGAATATATGTGTGTGTGTTTATCTATATAAAATGTTTTTACTTTCCCAAGAAAAGTGAACACCCCCCCAAAACGGCCTGTACAGAATCAAAGTATTGCAAGTCTGAATAACAGTATATTCTCTGATCATTTTTACTGTTCAGTGGCATAACCAAGATAACTAATCTTGTTATACTTGATTCCACCTTCCATAAAATGTAAAAAAAAGCCTGCAAAATTACATGAAGTTTTAATGAAGGATTCAAATTGTACCTCAATTTTAGTTCATATTTCTTTCTCGTTTTTTCTCTGATAGAGCCAACTCCAGCTGGCTCGAAGAGGGACCCACATCCTCAATGTGGACTTCTTAAATCACAGAGAAAAAGTTGCTGTGCAACAGCAGATGCAGATGGAGAGAAACAACTCTGCAGACACCAGGGTAAGTGAAGAATGAGACAGAAGAAGTGCTCCAGTTGCCAGAGCACAGATTCCCCTCCAGTCTATGGCAAAGACCATCTTGAGGCACGTTACTTCCCTGAAGCTCATGACCCCATGTCAGAGCAGCTGGATACATTGGAAGGAGGCTGTGACATTATAGAGAGCCCACAAGGGAACAAGTTCTTGGCAGGATCTGTAGACCCATGGAGAGAGGGGATCCCACCCTAGAACAGATTTGCTGGCAAGACTTGGGACTAAATTGTGGGCCCATGCTGGAACAGTCTGTTGTGAAGGACTGCACCCCATGGAAAGGGCCCACACTGGCGCAGTTTGTGAAGAACTGCAGCCCATGGGAAGGACCTGCATTGAAGAAGTTCATGAAGGACTGTCCCCCATGAAAGGGACCCTACACTGGAGCAAGAGAAGAGTATAAGGAGTCCTCTCTTTGAGGAGGAAGGAGCAGTGGAAACAATATGTGATGCACCGTAACCCCATTCCCCATCTCCCTGCGCTGCTGGGTGGGAGGAGGTAGATAAATCAGGAGTGAATTTGAGTCTGGGAAGAAGGGAGAGGTGGAGGAAGGTGTTTTATGGGTTTTTTAGGGTCTTTTTTTTTGTCTTTTTTTTTTTTTTTTTTTTCCTCATGATCATACTCTCATTTGATTGGTAATAAATTAAACTAATTTTCCCAGAATCTGTTTTGCCCATAACAGTAACTGGTGAGTGACCTCTCCCTGTCTTTATGTTGATCCACAAGCCTTTTTGCAATTTTTTCTTTCCTCTGTCAAACTGAGAGGGGGAATGATAGAGAGGCTTTACTGTGCACATGGTATCCAACCAGGGTCAGCCTGCCACCATGTAGAGCAATAAAGGAACATAACTTAGATTTCAGAAGGTGAAAGAGTAATGCATCCCATTCATTGTAATATGAGTGTGGAAAAGCTAATTTAAAGCAAAAATATAAATATTTAATTGATAGATAAGTTTAAACTAATTCTTAAGATAAACACTTGATAAATCATTTGAAATGTAATAATTTTATTTTTACATACACATAGCAGTGATTTATTTATAAAGTTTAAATATCCCTACAGAAAGAATCAACATAATTATAAAATTGTACCAACTTTTTTAATTATAATAAAAGGTTAGTATTCCATGGGAAATTATTCTTTTAGGAGTAATTCATTCTTTGGAACAGATGAGTAATGAACCAAGTGGAAACAAGTATCTTGAAAGCAATACTTTTGTTAATTGAACTAAGACATATAATTTAAATTCAATTTTTATCTAAGGGTAACAGAGTAGTAATAATGTACAATTCAACTGGATGTATTAAATCCCCTGCTAGTTTTATGAAGCCACAAGATAAATGAAGCAATTTTTTCATTCATGTCTCATTAGGGAGACGTATTTATTTATTTTTTTTGTCCCTAATTTAAAAAAGAACTGTGCAAATGCACTAATCTTTACATGAGCAAGAACAAAAATACAGACTGTTTGATACAGTTGTTTGGTGGTGTTTCAGGGCATATTATAATGATGGACATTAATAGATTTATTTTAAAATGCTTGAAATCTTGGATATGTGAATCTATCTAAATTAAAATGTAGAAATGTAGCATATGAGTTCCGTAACTGCCTACTTCCATGGTAAAGAGTGCACTTAGAAGCTTTGTCATTCTGATTTCAGAAGATCTTACTAACATAACAAATGCAGTCTTCAAATTATGCTCAGCTATGAATATTCTAACACTAGTTTAGTCTGAGGTTTCTACAATGTTTTATTAAACTACATATTGAACATCTAATCAGGTGGTTCCCAGAGTGGCTGAATTCTCTTTATCCAAGTAAGATCCCTTGCTAGTCTAGTAATAATACTAATAGTAATAATAATAACAAAACCAATAATAATAACATTACAAAGTGGAACAGGTACTGGTCATATAAAACGGTCATAGAACTGGGAACATGAATACAATATATTCCAGACTGCAATGCAGACAAGAACAAAAGACCTTTCAAGTTACCGCTGTCATTGGATGAAATCATGTCATGGATGGAGAAGAGATGATTCAATCAGCTGAATCACAGATAACTTTGCAGTGGACAGAAAAGCATAGTTTTAGTCTTTTGTGGCTGAATTCTACATCATGCACCTCACTCAGTTTGGTTCCTAGCATGGGAATGCCCATAGATTCTCCATGGTTGCTAAGACTGCATGAAAAAGAATGTGGAAGTGACACCTTTTTAACTCTATTTGATGACAGTCTTCTTAAAGGAAGAGCTCTAGGCCTAGAACTTATTATCAGAAAAAATTAGTCACCATAGGCCTTTTCAGTACGTTATCACCGCATTCAGGCCAGCTGCGTCACTTCATGCAGGTCTTGCATTCTCTAGACATTCTTCAAAAAACACTAAACCAAGTTAAAAATCTCATTCCTTGACTTCAATGACTCTCAGCATGGATGATCAGTCTGCAACTTGTAAAGTGAGTAAAATTTACCAATGCACCAGCTGCAGCTGTACACAACAATGTCTAAACACGAAATAGCTGTGCAGAAAACATCTGTGGTCTCTTCCCTGTTCCTGAAGTAAATAGGGAAACAGCCAATACTTCGGCTGACAACCCCAAACACAAGATGAGGTAAAATCTCCTATTTTGTTAAGACATCTAACCTGTCATGGAACAATCTTAGTATACAGATGGATATCGGCCTGTCTAAACAAGCAAATGAACAAATACATCTTTTTTAAATGGTGCCATGTCCTTATAATGAAGATGGTCAAGTAGATCAAACAGTTCATCTGTAGGGGCTGGGCAGTCCTCATCCTCTAAGGTTTTCAAGACCCAAGTGGATATGGTGTGATATCATAGCTGACCCTGCTTTGAGAAAGAGGTTGGACTAGAGAACTCCTGAGATCCTTTCCAACCAAAATCATTCTATGACTCTGTGATTGCTCCATCTGGGATGGATATTGTGGTCATCCATTTCTTTTCCTAGGCACAGCTAGCTTTCAGTAAGAGAAAACCTCATATATAATAGTTTTATTTAAGACTGTGATATGAAATACTGTGGAACCAAAACATCATTGAAATCTTCTTCATCTTCCACTATGCCATAATTTTATTTTGATTTCTTATTATTTATTCATTATTTATTACTTACATAAACAACTATCCATGTAAAATATACATAGTCATGAATAAAACCTTAAAAATTTCTTGTCAGCTTTCGCTCTCAACAGAACCACATGAAGTGGAACCACTTTAATATGATAATAAGTTCAAGTTAATATTGTATATATATCCATATGTTTATATATATTGCATACATTTTACACAGAGATACATATATTTTTAAACATGCTTGGCAATTTTTCATCTGTAAATAAACCAGGGAAAGCAGAAGAGTACTTGTCTACCTTTTATATTTTATTTTAGAGAGAATAATATAATACCATGGCATATAGGAGTTCCTAAAAGGGAATGTCATAATAGCAATTCCTGACTGATTTTTTTCTTCCAAAATTGACAGGAGGTGTTGGTGTCTAGTCGCTGACACACTGGAGTGAACAAAAGGTATCTAAGTAAGATTAACAGACAGAAAAGGAGTGACTCATCAATCCAATTGACTATCAAACTGCAGCAGAACACTGCAACAAAAGCTCAGTTCACAAAGCTTTAAGAAAGTATACTAGTCATAAAGACATCCTTACACATATAATAAAATGCCAAGTCATAGTCTCGGTCATTATGGATGAAAGTACAACTAGTTTTCCTTAAAGAGTCTGGATAATAATAAACTAATGGATAAAAGACTAGTTTTTCACTTTACAAGTAGTGGGACAGTAATAGAAGATAGCGATTGTATTTATGTGAGTAAAAGCAAGGTAAGAACTTGAGGCAAATACGAAATATGGCAGATATTGCAACATTTTGCTTTAAGGGATATTCTTATATATATTCTCAATAAGGGACACATACTGACTTTAGGCGGTCAGTGGTATTTTAAGTATTACAGGATTATGCAGGTCAAAGTGATTATGATGGATATCTATACAGAAACTAATTAAGAGTAAATTATGTGTCACATTAAATTTAACCTTTGTATGCACTCCATTTTTTTATTGATGTTCCATCTCTCTACATGTCAGTAGAAAGTTGATGTAATCTAAGTCCCTTGTTCATCTTTATATATCTTGCTTTCTTTTTTTTTCTTTTTTTTTTTAGCAAAAATCATGTCCTTCTCTAGGTTGTCATATCAACTACCATATTTTCATCTACAAACTGGTAAAAATATTCACATGGCTGGAAACAAGTAAGTCCCTTATTAAACTCGCGTGGTATCAGAAAGGAAGCAGGAAACTGGAAACATTAGTGAAACAGAGACCATAAATGGTCTAACTTGCTTGCAGGTCATAAATGGTCTA